GAGCCGACCACAACTGAGCCGACCACAACGACTGAGCCGACCACAACTGAGCCGACCACAACACCGGAGCCGACCACGACTGAATTGACCACAACACCGGAGCCGACAACACCGGAGCCGACCACAACTGAGCCGACAACAACACCGGAGCCGACCACGACTGAGCCGACCACAACGACTGAGCCAAGTTCAACTGAACCGACCACAGCTGAACCGACCACAATGGAACCAACCACAACTGAATCGACCACAATGGAACCAACCACAACTGAATCGACCACAAAGGAGCCAACCACAACGCAATCAACAATGCCATCCACGCCCGGAACATCGACAACAGAGCTGTCGAGCTCAACGGAGCCGGGTAGCACGCCTTCGGGGCCCACGGGCGCCCCCACGGACGCCCCCACGGACGCCCCCACGGACGCCCCCACGGGCACCCCCACGGGCGCCCCAGAGCCGACGGCCGGGCCGGGCCGCGGCGACGACCGCCGGTACGGCTCCAGCGCGCTCCTCTGGGTGGTGTTTGTGGTGCTGGGCGCCTCCACGGCGCTGGCGCTGGTGCTGGCATTGGTGCGGCAGCGGCAGCGGCGGGACGAACGGCTGGTGCTGGTGCAGCACCAGGACCGCGGCAGCACCAGCAGTAGCGACACCAGCGGCTGGTACGACTACATCTCCAAAGACAGGTGGAGGCACGCGAAGACACGGCTGGCGGACCTGATGAAAGGTTTGAAGTGATCCGATGGAGAGTCTGACATGACCTGACATGATCTTCGTGCGCATTGCGCAGTGCACTGGGTGCGTAGTGCACAGTGCACAACAGAAACACGCATTGATCGTACGCTTAATTTCACGGCCGGACAGCGTCAGCGTTCAAACATAATCCCTGCCTGCTCGGAGATGTTTTGTGGTCATATGGTCATAAAGGTAAACGACACGGAGGGACTAAGGAACATATGTAAGTGTGCATTGTATTGTATGTGTTGACATCAAAAGCCTTCCACATATGGCGTGTAGCTATAGGAACGGCCACCACCTACATTGTCCATGTAACTAAATAGTCATAATTGTGATGGGTAAGGACAATGTGGTAGTGTAAGGACAAGTGGTGAATGTGACAGTGCTGATGCTTCGATATTGTGTGTACGATGCTCCTTTGATATTCTATGTTTGTGCGCGGAAGTGAAATGACAGGGTAAGCTATGTGAACTGCTAATGCAAGTGGCTTGAAAGCGGCAATATTGCTTCCAGTAGCAGAATGTGTTGTGTTTTACCTTTAGTTCGATTGTCTAGCGGCAGTACGTACCTACAGTACCAGTAGGTATCTTGCGGCTATTATGCGCTTAAGTCCTTTACCGAATCAACTCAGCTCATTGAAGCTTGTCTTGTAAAAAACGACTGGTTATTACATGCATTTTATTGTTTAGTTAGCCTTTGCTTAGTTCGCCCCACCCTCTACAGTTTTTTGCCCCTTTTTTGCTTGTAGATCCAGTCTACTGCATCATCTAGGTATCCAGGCTCTACCAATGTCAGTTTCATTTGTTTCAGGCGTCTTAGCCCCTAGGTTCTTTCGATGCCAGCTCCATTTGTTTCATGCGTTTCGATGCGGACGATTTAAGTGAATTCGGCCGTGAGATTTTGAGTGAACAGCCTGTTGGTTATTCCTTCCGATCCATGCGCTTTTATGCCGTTCAAAATAAAGTCTTTTGGAAGCCGATTACGGAACAAGGGTTTTTAGTGCAACGTCCTTGCATATAGGTACAGGTCTCGCGGGTTTTAGCGGCAGGTTTTGCACCTATGAAATTTAGTATACTTCAGGCTCTATATTGGTCAATGGTCGTCTTAAACTTTTGAGTGTTGAAGATGCGATAGACTTGCTCGTTCACAAGCCTGCCATGATGGCTTCATCGTAGATCTAGTTTTTTTTAGATATAACCGCAAATGTAAAAGGGTAAAACCTACCGCAATCTCGCGAGAGCCGCACCTATATGTGAATGATCTGAATGTTATTACAGGCGTTAATTGTTGATAGAGAGTAAGGTGGCTTGATGGTTTCGGCTTCGGTTTTACCTATAGAGAAAAATGTGAGCGAGTTTTCCACATGAGCCGCTTTAGATTGTAGCAAATGAGCGAGCTGAAGTAAAGCCTTGTCATGGCCGATTTTCGATATGTATCGTCACAGCAAACATTGATTTGATCGCAGGAGGGCTGCCAATACACAATGCACATTAAAAAGCACTTACGTATTCTCAACGTTTCATAGGTCTACAAACACACTTTGAACGCACTCATTCGAAAACACGCTAACATAGAACGACGACGACGCGCTAGCGAATAAAAATCGCACAGTTTGTGTTTAGTTCATCTCTCCCGGCATTGGCTTCCACCTTCCCGTATAGCGGTGGTCCCAGTCAAATCAAGTGAAGTTTGATGGTGGGTATGACCCTGGGGGAGCGTGTGCGCGCCTGTCGCCGCCGACAGCGGGCGGCCTGTCCTCGCCAGCGGCCGGCCAGTGTCAGCAGCAGGCACGAGTCCAGCACGCTGTAGATGAACGTCACCAGCGCGTGGTTCAGGAAGATGCGCGGCTGCGGCGCCAGCTGACCGATGTTGCCGGGCACCAGCAGCGTGCTGGTCACCACCAGCACCAGGCAGTGCTGCGCCCAGCCGTGCGCCGACACAAAGTTGCGCGGCCGCGCTGTGTCCGGCAGGCCGCTGCTGGCGCGCAGCAGCCACGCGCACGCCGCGAACGTGGTGCAGTTGATGGCGCTGTTGACGGCGAACAGCACCAGCACGGGCGGCCGGTGGCGCGGCAGCGGCCGGCCCGCGCACCAGAAGAACACGGTCGGCTGCAGGCCGAGCGCCGGCAGCGCCGAGAAGGTGACCAGCAGCGCGGCCAGCAGCAGCCGGTTCTGCCAGCGCAGCCGGCGCTGGGTCAGCAGCGGCGCCAGCGCCGGCCAGCGGGTGGCCACCACCACCTGCTGCAGCCGGCTCAGGCTGATGACGCAGTTGGCGGCCGACACCAGGCCCACGCCGTCTACGATCACCAGGCTGTAGAGCCAGCAGGCGGCGGTGCGCAGCGCGGTCGGCGTCCCCCAGGAGTGGGCGCCGCTCACCAGCAGCAGACAGCCGTTGTAGAGTGGTGCTGTCACGCAGGTGAGCAGCGCGCGAGTCAGCAGCGTCTCGTCGACGGCAGAGAGGGGTCGGCCGACGGCCCGCAGAGCGCGCACCAGCCGCACCGGGGGCACAGCCGCGGCCGCGGCCAGCAGCAGGAACCCCAGCTGGTACCCGGCGCCCAGCGACGCGCCCAGGTCCACCGTCTCCTCCCCCGTCACCGTCTCCGGCGTCGTCTCCGTCACCGTCTCCAGCATCGTATCCGTCACCGTCCCCTCCATCGTCGCATCCTTCATCGTCCCCGGTGCCGGACTCGAGGTGAAGCTAGTCACTCATAATGCAACACGGTGTGAGACTGTCCGCAGCGCTTTACCTTTCCTGAGTAGTTATTGTCGACCGTTTTGCTGACTATTGATCTGATGGCACTGTCGATAGTTTGTGTTAGTCAACCGTGCAGGATAATGACACTGACTAAACTGATTGATGACTGAAGTCTGAACTGATTGCTGACTGAACTCACTGTCCTTGAACTGATTGCTAACTAGTTGACTGACTCCAAACTAATCACTTTACTTTGACTCCTGCCCATCCGTGATCCGGCTGGCACCTAAACTTTGACTGCTGATCATGCTGACTGTTGTTTGCATTGCCTGTAGCCTTTCTGATAGATGGACAAGGTCATGCTCGCTGATTTCACTTCCAATTGTTGTTCTTATCTTCTGACAGCTGAATCCCGGCCTGCTGAAAGCTGACTACTTCCTCTGCTGCGCCTTCGTGCACATTTTTACTGTCTCACTGGCAGTGCTGCCAATCCCATCCACTGGCAGTGTGAGTCGTGCTGCGGTCACCATCCCACTGACCGGACCAGCAGCAGCAGCACCTAGCGCGAGCCCCGAGTCCCGCGGCCGTGAGTCGCCGCGGTCAGCGGCCGACTTACCACACCAGCAGGAGTAGCCCCTCCCCCTACTGATGCACCTATAGCACGAGCGCCGCGGCCGTGAGTCGCCGCGGTCAGCAGCCGACTGGTCGGGCCAGCACAGCAGCAGCGAGTGCCGAGCCCGGAGGCCGTGCGTTATAGACCGGTCGCCGTGGAGACGACGTCGGTATCTGAAACGGAGCCGGTCTTATATGCCGAAAGAAGCTGCACCGTTTCTCATCCGAACTGTTGTCTGACGGCAAAACCTGCGCTTATCACTGACCACAAACTCACGACTACGGTTTGATGTTTATTCTTCCCAACTTTCAATGCAAATAATTTGCAATACAGGCCGTGAATATTTCTTACCTTTGGACTAATAACACTGCCATGATTATGAAACGAAATTCATTACCTAAGATTATATGTATATATCAAAGACAGCGATCCATAAAACAACCGCTCCTATTAGTGGAACTCTCAACCCACAGAAATGCGATGACCTGTGCGTTGGTTGCCCGTGAGCAAACGATACAAATAAAGCAATAAGGTAAGCGATACCTAAAGCAAGTTCTCAGTTGAGTCAAACTGATAAATAGGATATTTTTCATTTTTAATATTTCATTTTCAAATTAATGCTCTCGAGGCTGACGTTCACTACAGTTTTAGGTACTGTTGTAAGGGCATAGCAATATGTCATTGATTCAGACGTTGCCAAGTAGGTACCCTTTCATTATCAATATTTGAGTTTCAGCTACTGACGTATCTTGCAATCTGCCCGTCCCCAATGATCGAGGTTAGACACTTGACCGGTCCGGATTAGTTTCCGAACACAAATAGCAACTGCTTGACACGACTTGACTGACAAGTGAGCGGTCAACAGGAGTCTTTCTCTGCGGGAGACCGGAGCCTCTCTATCTAGAAGCGATTATCGGAAAATTGAGCCTATGCCGGCGCCCGTCGACTACTGGGCAGTTTCGGGTGTGTGGTGTTGCACGGACGGTGGCGCGCGGTGTTGCGAAGATTCAGAAGCAGTCAGGAAAACCGGACCGGACGAGTGATGGTCGAGTGCGCCGTCAGCGGAGTAAAGGGAGACGTTCTGTGGATGGGCTGGGGCTTCTAGGACAGAGGCGTGTACTGGGGTGGATCGCTGGTGAACCGCTCCAGTACACTCAGAAGCTCCTGGTGGAGACAGGCACCTGGGGCATTCCACGTCAAATCGAACAAAAATCGGCTATTTTGCACCTTACCATCAGCGATTTCATTATAAATTTGTGAGCGAGTTCCTGTGTCGCCCCGAACATTACATTGATGTTTTTTGCACATTCTGACCACAGGTCTTCTAAATATAGGGCATCGAATTTTTACAAAATGTTGCATCTTTATATTTTTGAACGACCATAACTTTGGTTGTACTAGTTTGATTTGAATGAAATAAACCTTACTGTTTAGGTAATTTCTTAAGCATTTGTTTAGAATTGCACCTACTTAAATATATGACCTTGAAATTTGCTTAACTCTGTTCTTAAGCACAAAAATTGAAATAGCAAAAAACACGTCACCTTCGATTTGGCTCATTTTCATATATTTTATTGCCTACCATATTCTTAACAACCTGTGAAAAAATTAGAGTGGGCCATTCATAAGTTTTGAAGAAAATGGCACATATGCAAACGTATGTTAGCACGCGCAGTGGAGGGGGAAGAGTGAATTTCGCCCCAACTCTCCTGTTTTTCGCCAATATCTCATAGTATTAATGCGAAATTAATTATAGCTACCTGTCCAAAATTGAATTGCACATCTCATCGTGCAAGCAAGAAGAAAATCGGTTCACAACTGGTCTAGTAATAGCGGTGTAAACTGAACATCCTGTCGCCGCGGCGACTCGGCAGCCGGCGCCGACCGCTAGCCGCCGCGCCGCCTGAATTGTAGACTGTGCCGGGACGGAACGGAACTTTACATCGCGCTCCTTACCGCTGATTACGTTCGATTCGCGTCAAATTTTGTGAGAAGACTAAGAAATGTACAGGCAGTTTTATGGTGTAAGAATTTTGAAAATCGGTTGGTAAACAATTGAAATATGAACGTGTAAACACAAAAATGTGATTGCTGCGTTTCCCGCGTCGGCCGATCCCGCCTCAGCCGGCGACATGTTACTCTTAGCAGGTCTCTAACTGCCATGTTTATCATTGGATTAACTAGAAATTCCCCATACATACTCAAAAATGTATATTCTTTCGTATAGTGAAGATAAAAAGACGTGAAGATATCGTTGCGTGATAATGTTTTCGTTGAATTTTGGCTTCATGATGCATTTCCACACGGCTCAAAATTCACCGCAAAATACCGTTTGCCTGAGACACTTTTACTATGGAACTTGAATGCTTGACTACGATGACTATGTACTTCCATTCTCGCAGAGTTTGGGATATCACTAATCAGCAATCATTCATTTCAGAAAGTGTACACAAGCAAGCATGTCTTGCGCTTGACTCTGTCTTTCAAGGTCACGCGCGGTTGCGTGATGTTGATGCATGAAAACGGCGTTTGCCGCGAGAGTTATGAATGGCCCACTCCAATTTTTTCACAGATGGTTAGGAACATTGTGACGGACATAATATGTAAAAATTACCCGAATCGAAGGTGACGTGTTTTTTGCTATTTAAATTTTTCTGTTTTAATTCAAGGTCAAATGCATTTCAAGGTCACTTCAATTTCATTTTATAATTAAAAATCAAAGCCTTATCAATTGCCTACAAGACCCTGTTAATATCATTTTGATACCAGAAAAGGAACCAGAGTTATAGACATTTAAAAAATTGATGTGTGGCATTTTTGGCTATATTCGATGACCTATATCTCAGCGATACTTTATCAAATTTCGAAAATATTATACGTAACTCAGTTTTGAACCATGCCCAGTCTGCCTACAAATTTTCAGAAAAATCGAGGGGGATGACGGATTTCGGTGTTTGATTTGACGTGGAATGCCCCACCTGTGTCCAGGCACGGACGAAGGTCAGGTGTCGGTAGAAGTGGGAGGTAGTGAGCGGCGGCAAGCCAGAGGGTCTGTCTGAAGAGAACTGATCCAGCCGACACGAGGCCATAGTAACTGCTGGAAGTCCAGGCCGTGAGGCCGCTGCCGGGGGTCGAGGGTGGCGCACGCCGTGAACATGCGGTCCGTCCGAGGCGGAGCCCTGCTGCTGCTGCTGCTGCGGCTGCTGCTGCTGCTGTCTCTGTCGGTGCTGGTGATGAGCTCCACCGATGAGCAGTCGTCCGGGGAATACTGCGAAGACTTTGAAAATGGATGGGGAGAATTTTGGACTGTACAAGAAGGCCCACATACGTGGTCAGGTGTGTGGACACCTGCTAACTATAAAGAGGTTGAAAACGTTCCTCCTCCACTAAACAGCGGTGAACAAATATTGTACCTAAAACCAGATGAGGGCGAGTGGTACATGGGAGCGGATATGATCACAAAAGAGAAATACAGCTTTCCAGAAGGCTCAACTTTGACATTTAGCTATTTGGCTGGTTCAGAATATGATGGGTCTGGCCATATCAAAGTAACACTAAAATACGATGAAAATCACAACATATCACTGTTCAGTGTCATGTCCACCATCACCGGCCCTGAATGGAAGAAAGCCGAGGTAGATATTAGCTCTTCTGGAACGATGGGACAGGTGAGTTACAGACGGGCATGGGCACGAGAGCAGCGCTCAACCCCCCCCCCCCCCCCTCACTGGTGGGGTGGTTTAATCTTCGCCCGTATTGGCCTTTTGACGACATTTTTATTTTACTTTACTCAATAGGACCCCTCCATCATACTCGATGTGTTGTGATCAAACTCGATATTTGATGATTATAACGCTGCAACGGATTATAATTTAACCCGCGCCCCGCTGGGCTATTCAGCCATACGCGCCCTGCTGGGGGGGGGGCAGATTCTGCCCCCCCCCCTGTCTAACTTCCGAACCGATGGTCGTAGAAAGACGGGGAAAACGGCAATCGAAAGCTCTCAACAAGGCGGATCTAAAGAGCCCAATTTTTATTTTTGCTTAGTAGGTCAGAGGTCAGGTCAAGGTCAGGTCAAGGGTATAAAATGCAAGTTTTTACAGTATCGGCCTTGCACCGTAGTTGCCGGAGAATGGACTGAGACTGATTGCCCAAAACGTGTTCTTAGACTACCGAGATAATATTCGTTGCATACAATGTCATTCTACGGTCAAGTTCAAGGTCAGGTCAGGTCAGGTCAGGTCAGGTCACCAAAAACAAAATATAGAAAAAGGCATGTGCGACACATGTTTTATGGGTCATTTTACTCATAGAATTCAATAGGCACACTCAATAAGTGATATGGACCACCTCTGGATGAATTTCAGGTCGAGGTCAGGTCAAGGTCAGGTCGTGAGGTCAAATTTTGAAGTTGGTTGTTAAGGCCTAAAAAGGTGTCTATCTGATGCAGTTTTTCACGGCAAATCGAATGGTGCTATTTTTGTTTCCATACGAGGTCTAGAACTTCCTAAAAAAGTCATTTTCCAAAATTTTTGTTTGCCGTGGCGTCATAAAATTTTGAATAACTCTCACATTTTTGAACCGATTCTTCTAAAATTTGGTATGTAGGTGCACATAGACCACTTCTCTGACATATATTTTTCGATACACTTAAAATTTTGGATTTTATAATTATTTTCCCAAAAAGTCAGTTTTTTTTTTGGAAAAAATGGGCCAAAATCCAAAATTTTCCATTTGATAGATAGAGTAAAATCACGTATAACCTTTTTTGTTACGTCTTGATTCCTTTAAAAATGAAGATGTTAGCGGCATTTGAAATTTTGCCGTTTTTTAGGCAAAAATGGCGAACATGACGTCGCAAAAACGTCAATTTCTCAAAAAATTTCCGACGGATTTCACTCACATTTTCAGGGAACGTGTCAAATTGATGTATGATAAGATACTGAAACTTTGACGTCGCTGGCGTAACGCGTTTAGAAGTTATTGGCGAAAAACCGGAGGGGCAGATTCTGCCCCCCCCCCGCGGGGCGCGGGTTAAATATTCCACAGAGATTAAAAAAGCTGCATTCCCTAATGCGGTATGATCAGATGAAAGACAAAAATGTAGTTGACTACTCCGGTCTCTGTTTCAGATCCTTATTCACGGCGAGGGCGCTGCAAACGAAACGACCAGCATTATAGCAGTTGACGACATTCAGCTGTGTGGCCCAAAGACCATCCAACCGAGTCATTACTGCAAAAACATCGCACCGTGCGACCCGAACATCACTACAACCGCAATGACGACTACAACCACCGAGCCTACGACGACTACCACTGAGCTAACTACAACCACGGAGCTAACTACAACCACGGAGCTAACTACGACCACCAGTGAGCCAACTACCACCACCATTGAGCCGACTACGACTACCACCGAGCTTACCACGACCACCACCGAACTAACTACGACCACAACTACGGAGTCAACCACAACCACTGAGCCAATCACTACCACAGAGCCAACTACTTCTGCCGAGCCTTCTAGCACCAGCCCGCGGCCGCCGCCGCCGCCGCCGCTGCCGCCGACCTCACCGGCGGCGCCGAGCGGCCTGCTGTGGGGTGTCGGCGCCGTGCTGACCACCAGTGTCGCCCTGCTGCTGCTGCTGTCCCTCCTCAGGAGCCCGCGCGTGGCCGCCGCCCGGCGCCGCCGCGCCTGGCTGTGCACCGCCAGCAACGACTACAGCGTGTTCACCGCGAACAGCAGCGGCAGCGCGAGTATCGAGAGCGCCAGCAGCGCCAGCAGCGGCTGGTACGACTACCTGGTCGGCGACCCGTGGCGCAAACTGGCCACGCGCTTTGGGTGGCTGCGCAGCATGTGACTCGTCCCCGCACCGAGTGGTGAGCCCTGTGGCGCCGCACGGGCGAAGTTACGCAGACTCTGGTTTGACTCCGCGGTAGGTAGGAAGGAGTTGAAAGTGACAATGGGTTCAAAGCTGAGCGCTGTCGCGGCCCTGCGGGTGACAGCGGCTAGGACGATTGAATGCTTCGAACGACGCGCGTCAGTGTACCTGGAAAACTATGTGTCTGCCTCATTAGGTATACCATTTTTTTTTTTAATGTTACCCAACATTGTCATGAGTGCATGTGCTTTCCTAATCGCTGCTTACGTTATGTATGATCTATGCAAGAAGTTGAAACTACATCTAAAAAAGGTCAAATTTCGGTTTAAAGTCAGGGTTAATTAAGGGCAAGGCTTGATTACTTGGCTGCTGCCCAACGCCAGCAGCAATTGCTTTCTTAAGGACGTATATGTGAACATAGGTCATAGGTGCTGCTCAGCATTCACTGTTCATGCCAGTGGAATATTGTCGGCCTCTTGTGCAAACTGACATGCTTAGGGATGTCTTAAAGACACTATCTAAGGGAAAGATTATTGTTTGTTGAAACCACGTCATTCCCATGCGTAAGATATGGTTAGATATAAGAGCTATGAGGAATGATTGTATGAAGCACCGATAGAGAAAGGCAGCATATGCTTGTCATTACTTCGAAACGTATTGAATCTCAGTGTGTCGTGCTATGCTATTAACTAGTTAGTTATTTGCACGTTGATTAGTACAGTTCAAGATGCGTTTTGTTAGATTGTTAGTGCAGTTAAATTGTTTAGTACAGTTGGATACGCGGCTAATTCAATTGGTGACTGGAAGTGCTGTGAATGATGTTGAACAGAAATAAAAGCTGTTTTTACTCGTATCAATAATGATCATGCTATCATCCATGGTTTGATTACACGTAAATATATTATTTCCATTTTTGTGATTAAATCATGACAAAAAGATATCCATGAAGCGCGTTGCCATCTAATATAAAGCATCTAGTACGCAAATCACTATGTAGAATGCTCCTTGGTGAATTGGTATCTGAGTTGCGCAGACACGGGTGATGTCCTTGGGCATTCCGCAGATGGATTATGTAACGCTTATCAAAAGCGATGGACAAGCAGGCGGCCCAAACAGTTCTGTCTATGTATGCACATTGCACATAGAGTGCGACCATTTCACAGAGACAGGCCGAATATCGTTTCCTTCTCTCCTGTATCCGCCACATACCTCCAGTGGTGGCATGAATGTGGCGATGCAGTACGTTTTAATGTAATATACGCAGTATCACGTGACAAATGGATTATGGAAGGTGATTGGAGGCGTCAGTGGTGCCGCTGTAGGCGTGAGAATCGCTAGATCGTCGGTTAGACCCTCAACCCTCAACATTCAGAAAGTGAGCCGTCATCAGTGTTTAGCGGATGTCAGTGCTTTCTCTGTGATTGAAGGCTGAAGCACTGGCCCTGCGCGTAAGATACGAGTCACATCACTCGTATCGGTCACATTGATATCACCTTCATATGCATATGCAATCGTTTGATTTACACCACTTTATACACGTTTGATTTATAGAAATTGTGCTATCCGTTTCTGGAAGGGTATTGTCGTACATATCATGTTTAATGCTCATTGTTCCTAAAGGGACATATCAACTTTATTATACAACAACCGAACTAGCGAATTCCGGAGCACGTACAAGTGTGTTATAAGCAGATACCTGATTGATAGGTAGGTACTTGCGAAAAATGCGGTTTTCAACACAAGCTAATTCATACGAGATTCTAAGCAACGTTCTACCGCGCTAACTACATCGGTTATTGCGTTCACTAAACAATGGCCTTAAGTACGAACAAAACAATGTCTTACAACATTTCCTTCGAACAAAGTGCCTATAATATAAATTGTATATCAGCCTATCGCCATATTTACAAACATACTGATAGTATAGAACATATTAAAGCCGCTTAAAGCTGATGCCGAATCAGTTTGACAGCGAAATCCCGGAAATAGAACATCACCTTTGCGTCACCAGTGCAAACCTAAGATAAATTCCGCAAAATACGCTAGAATGCATCTATAGGATGTGTCACATTTCATCGCATATTCATCGGAAATGCTTTGATAAAAGAACAGCAAGCTAATATAAGCAGCATCAAACCTACCATATTTGCAGTCACAACAATTACACATCGTGGGACACTTGCCTGGATACCCAAGACAAGTAAGTTGATAGAAGAAAGCATGCAATCGTAAAGCAGTTTACACTTGATAAAAATACAAAAACACAGCATATATTTCAAGACGACCAGCGTCACAGTTTCGAAGACAGTTACCAAATCCAGCTGGTCCTGTTACCCAGACCAGTTGCTGACACCAGCCGTTACAATTACTTATCTAGTATCTACAGTATCTACAGAGCAGTCACGATGTCTACCGTCCGTCCCAGTCTAGTACCGCAGCTGTGCCATCTTATCATGAGCCTGCCTCCACGGATCGCTGTGGAGATAGTCGAACCATCCGGAGCTGCCGGAGCCGGAGCTGCCGGAGCCGGAGCTGCTCGGCTGCCGCACCAAGGGCAGCCGGTCGGAGCGCGCGCTGCTGCGCCGCCGACCGAGCGCCAGCAGCAGCAGCAGCGCCACAGAGGCGGCCAGCACGGCCAGCAGGGCCCACAGCAGGCCGGACGGGCCCAGCCGCGACCCGTCGGCCGGCGCCGGCGCCGTGGGAGGCGCCGCCGTCGGCGGGTGACCGGTGGGTGACCGGCTAGTTGAGGCCGTGGGGCCCGATGTCGGTGTTGTGACGGGTTCAGCCGACGTCGGTCCCTCTGGCGAGGTGGGCCGATCTGATGCTGTCGGGTCTGTTGCGGGGCTGCCCGCGGTGGTCGCCGCGGTCGGCCCGCCGCTGGGCGTCGACTCCGACTGGGCCGTGGTCTGGACACTGCTGGGCTCCGTCGTGGCCGTCGTGGTGGACGCCTCGGTCGATGTTGTCGTCAGGGGGATGCACTTCTGGTCCAGTCCGGCCGGACCACACACCTTGATGTCGTCTATGGCGATATTGTTCAGTTCTCCCGTTCCACATGCACCGAAAATCAGGAGCTGGAAAAGCATCGCTAAGAATGTTACGTTCAGCTCGAGTCAAATAACACAAAGAGGGAAAGGGCAGGATTCATGTGAAGAAAAAAAAAGAGCCTGAGATAAGTTAAATTATTCCAAATCTTAACCCTATTCCTGGCGGGGGGGGGGGCCTCAGGAGCCCCCCCCCCCCCTGAGGTTTTTTGGTTATTTCTCCCAAACGCGTTGAGCTAGGAAGCTCAAATTTTCTGACTTTTCCTAAAAGGCTTCTACGCAACATGTCTGAAAATTTTGAGTTGATCTGACCTCAGGTCAGGTCACCAGAGGCGGTTTGGTGACCCTACCTCAGAAAAGTTTGCAATCACGCCAGAGCTAGAGTTTTTGACCGATCAATTTCTTCTCTTCAGGCTTTAGTTAGGGTACCAGTATGTGCAATTTGTATATCTCGGAATTTTGATATCGGTGACCTAAGGTCAGGTCAGTTTCGCGACCTCCCCATTATAAGTCAATGGGGGAAAAATCAACTCCCTGTTTTTACCACTACAACGGGTCGGAATGGACCCATATACCATACATGACTTCATATACGATCAACCTTCACTACCTTGAGGTCTGTTTTGCTGTTGGGCAGCTGTGAGGTCATGTGACGTCATCAAAGGTCACCAAAGGTTTTTGGCCAATAACTCCGTACAGGAACAAGATACAGACGCGTGGATGGTCTCATTGTGTTCAGCTCGTCAAGACGCATCGAATGATATACATGATGACCTCGAGGTCACGTGACCTGAGGTCAACCTTTGACCTTGACCTTTCGAGGTCAACATATATCATTCGATGCGGATTGACGAGAGGATCACGATGATGCCCTTAGTCTGTTCCTATCTTCACTAATTCGAAAGTTATTCGAGAAAAACTCTCTCCATATCTAGCGCCGCCATTTTGACTTTTTCGACCCCTGTGACGTCATCTTTGACCTGACCTGAAAATGACCTTAGTAAAAATTGTAGATCTTGACCGTGCGTATCCGATGCCGTTTACCGTTTGTCGCTGCGATGTGTAGTTTTTGAGATCTGAAGGGGGGGCCGAATCGGCCCCCCCCCCCCCGCCAGTTTCTTGTCCCGGCGGAGCCCGCCAGGAATAGGGTTAACCAAAAAAGGCGCTAGAACAGGTTTGCTGTCTATTGCATGCCTGCTCAGCTACTGCTGCAGCGCCAGCAATGATTACCCTCGCATGTGTAGGGGGGGGGGGGGGTCGGATGGACCACCCATGGTTTTTCGCGAAAAAAAACTCAGGTAAAAAGCGGCCGATCGCAACGCAACTTTCATTACCCTCGAGTTGATCAATTTTACACCTACTCTGAAAATTTCATGACCCTGCCCCAAAGGACCTTTGACCTGTGACCTGATTCTCGAGACCATGTTCGGCCGGAATCGCGGTTTTGCGTATGTCAGCTCACATTATCCGCGCGTTTCCAGTCTCTTTGTGATTGTAAACGTCCAAACATGTGAAATGATGTTCGTCCCATGCATCACGGTGGGTGTCAAGATCACCTGAGTGTCAGGTCAGGTCATTGACCTTTGATGACCTCGGTTCACTTTTTCGAGTTTTACATGTTTCTAGGGTAGTTTTCGGGCTGATTTCGAATTTAGCATCCATTTGAACATTTACGAAGTAGTTTTGGTGCCTTCGTAACATGTTACGAAGCTGTCAGAGGCGGTTGACACGTACTACGAATACCCGTCACGACCCCCAGTGGCGGATCTACGTTGGGGCAAAATGGGCAATTGCCCCCCCCCCCCCCTAAACGGAAAACCTCTGGGCAAACATATCTTTTTGCCCCCCCCCCCTAAAAAAAACTACAACTTGAATACTAAAAATATGGTGTTTGAAAAGAAAATGTGAAATAAATGGAGGACTAGAAGATTGTCATATTCGTGATATAAAGTTGTGAGCTGCAGATAAAAAGTCCTCCGCCCCATGAATGTCAGTCCATCATCCATCAGCAGTGCTACTACTGCTACTGCTACCAAAAAAACAACGCGATTTATTGAAACCTTGAACCAAGTAAACAAACCGTCAACAGCAGACCGCCAGACGCCAGTGGGGTCAGGGGTCACCACACTGGTGAGCGGTTGGACAGTGGTGGGTTTGGAGATAGAACTGGCTGAGTGAACGATATGGTTGAGCTACTGCCGCTGTGTCACTCAGTGATGGCCAGAAAGAACGGTGTACTGCGTGCCTTTGAGAACAAGTGCGAGAAAGGTTTCTGAG